AGAGAAGACTGGATGGAACATCTTTGCTTTTGGATTGGGCTTCTTAGATTATTTCCCGACTCCTTCACATAAGGAAAGTACACAAACATTTTTCTCTCTCACACATGGTCTTTATGGCAGAATTCCAGGCTCCACAGCCACAGCCAGTCCAGCAAGCATTTCAGCTCCCTCAACATCTTTGGCTTCAGTACCAAAATCAAAATGAAATGCTAATTGAGAAAGAATTCATGGCTTTGAATGTGGGTATTTTCAAAAATTCCTCTAGGAACTTAAAATTTATTCTTTTTATTGTAATATTCTATAGATATTTCTATAGCTATTTCACTCTCAAGTTCTATTTATTGCTACTAAAGTCCCTCTCCCACCCTTAATTTTGCACCTCATCCCCAAAAATGCTTTAAAGACTGTTATTTATGCACATACATGAAATGTTACAATTTTTCTAGCAATCTTTACAATATTAGTCTTCCCATTTTGTCAAATGATTTAACCCCCAAAATGAACAATTTGTACTGAAGATACTTTCTGCCAGTTACAATATTATTTCTTAGATTGAGGTAAATTATTGGCCCATGGAGAAAAGGGGACAGGTGGATCTCTTACAGAGATGCTAGTCTGTCCTTCTCGAGGCTTTGGAGTGATATCTTCGCACTACTCATCATTACCTGTATAATTATATTAGAGATGCCAGTCCTTGCCTTCCACTAACCTTCCAAGAGCACTTGTGGTCATTTGTTACATCAGTAATAGAAAATTAACACACTTCTGTAGCAAACATGGCCATCTACAGGCTGTGGGTAGACACATCTCCCTCTTTGACCATAACCTGGAAAAGCTCTCCAATGTTAAGAAGTCATAAGATTAGATTAGGTTCACCTGGATAATCCAAGCTAATCTTCCCATCTCAAGATCTTTAACTGAATTACATCTACAAAATCCATTTTTTTCCATGTAAAGCAACACAATCCTAGATTCCAGGGGTTAAGAGTGGACATCTTTGAGGGCCATTATTCTGCCTAGCACACAGGGGATTGCTGACCCAAACTGAATCAAGCATATCATCTCTCTGGATAAGCTGAATTTAGGATATAGTACTTGGTGGAAATGTAATATAGAATTGGGCTGGCTTAAAGAGACACACACAGAGAAAGAAGCAGAGGAAAGTGATGCCCCGTGACCCCTAGAGATTGACAGGGTTACCTTTGGACATTCCAGATGTTGCTCCAGGCCTGCCATGGCCCTCTGATACTAGAACACTGACACTCAATCATGTGACAACTGCTCTTCCCCCCAGAGCCATTTAAACTTTTAGAAGGTGGGGCAAAGAGTAAGCACAGAGTAGCTGCCAGATGGTATTAAGAAAGATCTCCTGGCTCTATGGAGTTTGTCCCACAGTGCTTTTGGCAGTTCATGGAGCCATGTGTTCATGAAGCGATGAAAGCTCATAAGTGGATATCACATTTCCAAATCCATTAGAGCCTTGAAAACAAGGTGGTAGTGGCTATAATTCCTTGAAATGCTCTGTCTATAGGTGTGAGAGAGGATTAAGCAGAAAAATGTATAAAAGGGGGTACTAGGGGAGAAAAATGTTTTCAAGATTATTTGTCCATATGTAAATTGGATCTATACCTCTCAATTGCAACTCATCTTTCTTAGTAAATCTTAATAAAATATCTTTTTTTCAAGGCTTCCTCACTCTCAAATTAGATGTCATTCATTTAATTTAGTCAACAAATATCTGAGCATTCACCCTGTGCCACTCCTGGAGTTAAGAGCTGAAAATGCACAATGCAAAGACGAAATAGGGTCTTCCTCTTTTGATTCCACGTTTAACTTTCTCCTGGCACTGACCACTTCCTGCTTCACAGGTGGGTTCTCTATCTTCTCTACCTGAACACAGCCAATCCCACTGCTAATATGTAATCCCTTAAAGAGAAGACACTGAATCTTCTCGATTATGGGACTGCTCATAGAACAGTGTCTGTCCTGACATAAAGGAGCACAAGAATTCAACAATCTTTAGTATGACAGGGATGGAGAGAAGTGAAGCATGACTGTGAGATGGAGTTAATACACCTCCACAAGGGCGACCTTGTCGTGGGTCTCAAAGTTTGGGTAGGATGTGAATGGGCCAGAGGGACAGAAAAGAAGAGAAAGAGCATGATGAGCAATGGATTCCACTTTGGAGGACCACAGAGATACAAGCTTCTAAAGAGTGTAGGCCTTGTATTGGAGAATGGGAGAAATAGTTGGATGAGAAGGCTAAAGCCAGGTTATCTGGGGCTATCTCCTTTCCCTCATACCTTTCCAAATGAGAAGCAACTGAAATCGTAGGACCTCCTTTGCTTTTCTATTGGGTGAATGTTTCTTGGTGTGAGTCTCAGTGCCTACATAACTAAAGCTTACTGAAGTGTTCCCTTGGCAAATTTAGAGAAATATGTCCTTTGTGCTAACATGTTCATATTGACAGACTATATCTAATTATATAGTTGCCCATATAGTTTTATGATGCCTCCAAGTGTGGATAAAAGAAAAATCAAACTCCTATTCTTGGAAAGTCATGAGGATACTTGTTACACTGATCAAAGGGCAATGGAAATGATCCAGTGAGGATTTTGCTCCATTTCTCACAATTATTTAAAATCCACCTCAAATGTCTGCTCCTCTACAATGTCTCCCAAGTCCTTCATTCTGAATAGCAACTCTGTCTCTGTTCCCAAAGCACTAACTGACCCTGTGACAGGGCACTTCCCATTCTGGCTGATATGTAGACCTAGTTGCCTGTGTGTCTTTTCCCCATAAACCGTGAACTTCCTTTTATGAATAATAATTGCAGCTAACATTTTGGAGGGTACTCCTATCTGCCAAACTCCATGATGAGTGTTTTACATGGATTTTTCCTTTATTCACTAAACAGTCCTTTAAAATGATGCCATTATTCATCTTCATCTTACAGATAAGGAAACTAAGGCAAAAAAACATTCAGTGAAATAATAAATCCAAGCACACAGAACAAGTAAGGAATAGGGTTGGCCTGGTCCCAAAAGCCATGCCATCACTGTTGCCCCATACTCTCTCTTGGAACAGGCAGAGGTCATGTCTTATTCATCACTGCTACTCCACTGGACCCAACTTAGTGCCTGATACAGGGAGGGGTTCAGTCCATACTTACTAGTTTGAGTGGAGCAGAATTGCCAGGCACAGAGATCCCCTTTGCTGTGACTAATTGAAAGTCTGATTCTCTGCTTTAAAGACAGCCAGGGTGCTCTCTCTGCCCTACTTCGTTTTTCCTGTTTCCTTACTCCTCTTCCTTCCTAGCCACCCCATGTGAATTCAAAGTTGCAGCTTAGTGCAGACAAAGAGCATACAAGGCAAAACGACCAATGTGGGATTGAGAGAAGAGAAACAAGGAATTCCAGAGGCTGGGGGGAGAGTGAGAAAAGAGAAAGTGATTACAATTTATCACTTTAACTTAATATTTAACCTAATGAAAATAAAATCTTATCTGGAATTTGGAAGTCAATATTTTGATGGCTGGTTCAGTACCCTTTTCTTTGTTTTGACAGTCTGAGAATAATCCAATGGGTGTGGCTTAAAGACATCGGTCACGTGTGGAATTGGAATTGGATGTTACACAAGCAACAAAATAAATATCTGTGCAATACATCTGCTTTATGCACTCAAGCAGAGAAGAAATCCACAAAGACTCAACAGTCTCCTGGTCTGCAAAGAAGACAGAAACAACATGAGCACAGCAGGAAAAGTAAGCAAAAAATATATTACTGTTGGTAATATATTCTCATCAATATAGCAAATAAAGGAATACAGTATTTGATGAATAATTTAAAATTAATATCTAAATTAGAAATGATACACTGAAATAAGATATGCAATATACACCTCAATATGTAATGTATACTGAACTGCAGTGGAAATAAGCTATTCTTAAATATCTTGCACCCGGCCCTCCGCCCCTGGGGCGGCTTCCAGCGCGGGCCGTGCGCCCCGCCGCCTTCCAGGGTCGCTGCTCCGCGGGCACGTGGAAGGCCGGCGCCGCATTCAGGCTCCCGGAGCTCCCGCGGGCTTGCAGGACCCGGCAGGTACCTCTTGGCGGCGGCTCACCCTTTTCTTTCCCTCCATGAGAAAGAAGCCAGCTCTATCTGAGGGCAGCAATCCTGATGGTAATTTCCTCCAGGAACACTGGCTGGTTGAGGACATGTTCATTTTTGAGAATGTAGGCTTCACCAAGGACGTGGGAAACATCAAGTTTCTGGTCTGCGCAGACTGTGTAATTGGACCAATTGGCTGGCATTGCCTAGATGACAAGAACATTTCTGTGTGGCCTTGGAACGAGTTTCCCATGAGTAACTGCGGGTAGGGGTATCCGGCTCCACCTCCAAAGATAAACCTGCTCCCCACAAGAACTGGCCTTTAATGTGGTCTAACTGTTCTGCTGCCTTCTTCTCTGTGCTAATATAAATACTGAGTACCAGCATGTCCACTTGAACATGCAGAGGGTTAATTCTGCTTCCTAAAGCCTCACGAACATGCCTCCTGCTTAGTTCACTTTGCATCAGATTTCCTAAGCTCCTGTTTCCCCCAGTTTTGGGACACTGTGCTTACCTCCACAAATCTCATCTCTTTCCTAGCATTCTGCCCAGGCTTTGTTTTGCCCAGGGGCTCCCTCTTTTTCTAGAAGAGCAGTATTCAACCTTTTAGCTATGACGACATGTAACAAAAGATGCTTATGTACTAATAGTTGAAAGTCTGCCTTTTCAAATTCAATAAGGCATACAAATATCTGAGAGTGACTTTGTTGTATAGTTTCCCTTGTGATCTACAGTAATTTAATCTTTCTAAAAGTAAAGCATTTACTAAACTCAGTATTTAAACCACTAACCAGAAACATTACTTGGGATGCATCTCTAATACTATGTTTGAGCGCCTCTGCTCTAGGTTGAGAATGACATTTTATTGTGAAGATGAGTGCGGTCCCTCTTCCCTTGAAATCTTGTGGTTTCTTTTTATATTAACTCCCCACTGCTACAGCCTAGAAGGTGAGAAGCAGATTTTTAACCCCATCTGGCAGCCACTCAAGGAAAACCCAGCCCTGGCTGTTTACCCAGGCTGTCTTGGAATGAGTGTGCAGGGTGTAGGATATGAGGGTTAGGCCTTTGCCAGATTATACGTGAGTTTATAATTCCCTTCATCTGGACAGGTAACTTTCTTCCTTTGTTCATAGGCAAAAAGTTCTTTAATGGATAGTATCATTTACTGAACCTACTAGGCATGGTCCTCATGGAGTTTTGGTTCAACTGGAATCTCTGTGCCAACCCAGGATACAAACTTCCATCCGGATGCCTCTATTTCCATAGCTCCGGGGCTGCTCTAACAGTTTGATATCAGCAGACTTGTTTAAGCCTTCAACTTGATTTCCAAATATTCCATCATTTCTATTCTGAAATGACTCACCGTCATAGAAGGAAGTTTATTATATAACCAAGGTTTCAGGTATCCTCCTGTAACCACCTCTATCATTCAGGAGGCCTAAATTTGAAATAAGTACTAAATAGAAGCCTCACCATCTGAAGTCCCTTCTGTTGTTTTCTAGTTGCTTCCTTCTTCCTTTACCCCCAGACTTTCTAAGGGCTCCCCCGCTGCAGTGCAATCTGGCCTTGGGCACACTTTTGCAACCAACCTACTCCCCTGGAAAGGTGGCTTCCTTCTCCAATCAGCCTGAATGAGCTTCAGTAAGCAATTGAGAGAACTGTGTTTTTCCAACAAATGGTCACATGTCCATTGTTATGGCATCTAGAGAAAAAGAGAGTTATCCAATCAAGGCAGGAGCATAACCCAAGTAGATGCCTCTAGGGGCACATGGCCCCTCACATCACAAGCCAGAACCTAAGCTAAGCATTTTTTAAAATGAGTTTGAAACTAGCCTGTGCAACATAGTGAGACCCCATCTCTATTTTAAAAAATGAACAAAATTACTTGGGCATGGTGGTGTATACCTGTAGTGCCTGCTCCTTGGGATGCTAAGGTGGGAGGATCACTTGAGCCCCAGAGATAGTGACTGCAGTAAGCCAAGATCACACCACTGGCACTCCAGCCTGGGCAACAGAGTGATACCCTGTCTCAAACAACAACAACAAATACATATACATATACATATATATATATAGCGACTTGAATAGGAAACCATAGTATTTCATTGTTTTCATTTGCATTTATTTTACTTCTAGTGAAACTTTTATGTACGTATCAGTCATTTCTGTTTCCTTTTTGAAAACTGCCAAATGTTGCCCTAGTAGCCAAAAATATCAAGTTGCTATTCTGCCTTTTCAGTTTGATCTGAAAGAAATAAAGGCATTTAAGCAATGGAAAAAAAATATCTTTAACAGGAATGTATAAAACCTGTATTAAGTCTTTATTTCCTACATTAAATAAATTTGCAAAAATGATAGTTTATTCCAGCTAATCATGACTGATTTGTAAATCTAAAGTTAGAAAAGTCTTTAATCACAAGTTATCTTTATAATGACACCATAATTCAAATGTGTTATTATTTGTATTCATATTTTTATGAACACAAGAAAGTTGTCTGACAGAAGTTTGATGAGAGGAATTTGATTCAGAAGATTGAAATATCCTTCAACCTTACTATAAAATATCTTACAAAATGCTCTTTGATCTCACAGCATTAGAATCATCAAGGTTAAGCAAGACATCAGCATGCAAATTCTAATTAAAAGGGGTCCATTATGATACAATTCAGGGAATTTCCACAAAAATCCTATGGAACAGTATCTTCCCCATTTAAAAGTTAGTGTGGTTTCACAGCAAATTAACAATACAATTTGAATAATAATACAATTCGAATCACTTAGCACTAAGAATACGGATATTTGTTTTTTTCCTCTATAAATTGCGCTTATTTGTTCAATGTGTTTACAGGTGCATGTGGTCATTCAATATAATCAATTGATATTTTTTAATTGTTTAATTACATAAACCTGTGCAACTATTTCCAGTCATTTGTGGTGTTAGGAGTGTACCACACAGTAAAATATCTCACCATGATAATTCAATTTAAAGGTTCTGAGGCTTCTCTCTACATTGTGTGACAAACAGGCTCATATCAATAAGACCGGTTGGAAATCACCAATAGCCCATTGTTACTGTTCTTATTCCACCTCACTTTACTTCCATTTATTACTAATTAATATTTACATTCCTAATAGAAAATTACTAAAATAAAGAAAATTCAAATTTACCAAACTCAACTTAAAAGAAATAATGAGTTCATAGAGCAAAAGTATAAACCAACTATATTAATGAAAATAATAACTGATGAAATAGACAATCCTCCCCTGTTGGGTGCAACATCAATAACTTAGCTTTTTGACAGCATTTCATTTGTGTTTACCCATCCTGCATTTTATTTCCCTCAAATGCTAAATGGTGACAATACTAACATCTATTTCATGAAGTAGTTTTGAGAATTAAATGAGTACTGTAAAGCACTTAGAATCATATCTGGTACATGATTAAATATTAGCCACTATTAAATATTAATATTTAAATAACTATTAGCCATTATTATTATTATTATTGCTATTTAACTTTTTGCTAACTTTTTAACATCACAGAGTACTGAAAATGTGAGGCTAGATTAATTGTTATTCTCTGTACAGTCAGCTTTCAGACTTCGGAAAAATTATTCAATCACTGAGTCAATTGATCCTCAATTATTTCAGCTGTAAAATAAGCCAATAATTCAATAGTATTGTCCTGGTAGCAGCCTTGTCAGGTTTAAAAATAATGCACATTGTTTACAGCAGCACAATTTGCAATTGCAAAAATATGGAATCAACCTAAATGCCCATCAACTAACAAGTGGATAAACAAAATGTGGTACATGTACACCACAGAATACTACTCAGCTGTAAAACAGATGAAATAATGGCCTTGGCAGCAACTTGGATGGAGCTGGAGGCCGTTATTCTACGTGAAGTAACTCAGGAATGGAACACCAAATATCCAATGTTCTCACTTAAAAATGGTAGCTAAACTATGAGGACACAAAGGATAAGAATGATATAATGGACTTTGGGGACTGAGGGAAAAGGGCAGTAGGGGGAATGAGAGAGAAAAGACTACATATTGGATTCAGTCTACACTGCTCGGGTGAGGGGTGCACCAAAATCTCAGAAATTACCACTAAAGAACTTATCTGTGTAACCAAAAACCACCTGCACGCCAAAACCTATTGAAATTAAAAATCAATCAATGAATAAATTTTAAAATAAAAATAAAAATAATGCATATAATTTACCCAGCACAGGCCACAATGTGCCTGTCACATCATAAGTACCTAATAATAAGAAACTTCCTACTATTAGTACCTTCTGTCTAAGTATTCTGATATTTATTTTGGCATTGACCATGTTGAACATCCTACAAAGTTGAAAATTTGACAAATAAATAATGAAAATGAATTGGCAGAAAAATAAATCTCAATTGAATTTTTAAATTATATTTGCAATTATGTTGATTCTTTCTAGAAAGGGCTCTGCGAACTGTACATGCTTTACCACAATGAAGATGGTTTTTACAGTACACTGCCAAGCACTAGAAATATATGCTGAACTTTCTTTTTAAGAACATCTATGGATAAGCTCTGCTAGACAGAAATTCAAACACACTGTTTCTCCAGTTTTAAAATATACATGTGTGGGTCTGAGTCTATACACACATACGTGCGTGCACACACACACATACCACCAACTCTAATCTCTATAATATTTGGTTCAAATCTAAGCTGGAAGGAGTCTCTACACATAAATTAGATTACAAAACAGGCTGCCAAAGATAAGTTTCAAATGAGTAGGAAACAAGTAGCACACAGAAGTGGTGGAGAGAGAAAATTAAAAGAGGACAATAAGCAAATAGGGAGAGAAAGAAACATCATCGTACGCAGGAAGGTAAACCCGTATAACTGTTCTTATAGAGTCAGATCCTTTTGGCCTAAGCAGAAAATTGAGCAAGAAAGCAGTTTATTTTACGTAAACAGACACTGACTCTGTCAGCAAAATAAAGGTGACTTCTAACTTCATGTATCAGCCAACAGTTGTGGGTAAACAAGCATTTTCAGGACAGCATTAGGAAATATCAGGAATAAACACCTTCAGAGAAAAATACAACAGCGTAAGAATGGCCTAAATAAATATATTCCGTTTTTCTCAATGTCTTATTATACTTTATCTTTCCTTATGTTATTGTTTTTCAAAAAGATACTTTTATTCTCTTTATAAACCAGAGTACTTCATTTCCATGGAGCACTTGTTAGGTACCAGACATGGGACCCAATATTACATGTACAAAGATGAAAAGACACAATTTCTGACTTGAAGAGTGAGAAAACACTGTCACCATCTCTCAGTTTGATTTTCTAGGTCATCAAATGCAAAGCAGCTGTGCTATGGGAGGTAAAGAAACCCTTTTCCATTGAGGATGTGGAGGTTGCACCTCCTAAGGCTTATGAAGTTCGCATTAAGGTGAAGTATTTTTCCATTTGTATTTCATTTTACATTTTAAAAACTCAGAGAATATTAAAATGGAAACATCAAAAAATCTACTAAGAGGCATATCTTATATGATCATCCAGAAAATAAAATTACATTTGTTGTCAAGCAAAGGTATAAATATAAATTTTAAATGTTTAAAAAGTGATCAAAGAGTACATACAGTATAATTCCAGTAAAATACAAAAGAATTTATATGTTTGTACAGAAAAAAATTCCACAGGATATTTATCAAGACTTCAAAATCAATTAACATTATTTTCCATGTGTTACCTTGCTATTTCTACTTCTGTTTTTTAAAGCGTGCATTCTTGTATAAGACTTAAATATTTCAGATTATTCTAAATTGCTTAATTCAAGAAGGGAAGGTAGAGACGGGTTTTAGACTGAATAACCTTGAGGATAAACCGAATCTTTCATATTTAGGAATAGTAGGGAGTAATAGCAAAACCCTTGAATATATTTTAGAAGCACAATATCAGGAATTTGGGTATGTTAAATTTATCTAGTTACAATTTTTTCTGAATCTGAACATCTTCTCTTTATTCTGTAGATGGTGGCTGTAGGAATCTGTCGCACAGATGACCACGTGGTTAGTGGCAACCTGGTGAGCCCCCTTCCTGCGATTTTAGGCCATGAGGCAGCCGGCATCGTGGAGAGTGTTGGAGAAGGAGTGACTACAGTCAAACCAGGTACAGGATTCACACTCGGGGAACACGCTTGGTTCACCATCCCAGGATTTCCCAGCCTGGATGAGGAAACCGAGGCAACGAGAGACAGAAGGGCTTGCAGAAGGTCACCGCGCAGCCAGGACATCAGGGGTTTCCTCTTTCCCTCTCTGCCTGCCTGACTCAAGCATGTATGTCTTCAGGCAC